TTTTTAAAAAGCAGTCGAAATCTTGCTGAAACACAGGCTGAAAAAATGTGCTCAAACATTTACAAGAAAAGCTCCCAAATCATGTGTTCATCATAAAATCATGAGCTGATTTCTGGTAAAATAGTCATTTTCTTGAACATTTCTAAGTTTTTTCTATTTAATTTTCAGTTTGTTCTCATAAATTTCTGACTTTAATCTAAAACATTCTGATTTTCTGGTAGTTCCACATTTTTTTTTAATCTTACCTTAACCTCCTAAGACCGTACATCTTTCACGGCATACATTTTTAATTTCTCTTTGCTATTTGGGCTGATTATAGAACAGTGGCAGTATAATGTCAGTGGATATCAGGCCCTTGTAGAGCAAAATTTAGTATCTTGGTCCAGACAACCCAAACTGTGATGTCCACATATGTGGATTCCAGGTCCTAGAAGGTTAAACAACCTTAATAGGCCAGTTTTGCTTTTACATTCAGGAGCTGATAAATTAAAATCGATTAATATATCATCGATGTGACCAGGTGTGACTAGGTTTTTACAGTTTTGCATACTTCAGGGGTTTAAACAACAGAAGACACAAAAGTAGGCTGATTTCACAAGCCAATCGAACCCAAAAAGAGTAAAATAAGCTCATTTCTAAACCACACAGACTGCATGAGAACGTCACCAGGTTGTATTCCAGAACATGCTGAACTGGGTCCTAAATTTTGCAACATTTTCTCTAATAATTGTTGTAAAAAGGTGTAAATTGCTTCATAAATGTCACGAGAACAAAGAAAAAAGGGTTTCTCACAAACCCCGCTTAGTGTGTCCCCTCCAGTGCTAGCCCCTTCACTGTCATTACTCTTTATTATCTTGTCAGTCTGATGGGAATATTACCTTAATAAAATGGCTTTGTTGCATGAAGTCAAATGAAAATTATTTTAGGGCTGTCAGCACTTACAGATCCTGAAGGGCCTGTGATTGAAACTGAATATGGTAATAACATGAGTACAAATGTCTGGTGAGATTAATATAAAAGCAGTGCATCTGTTTTCATTCGGGCTCTGCTTTCTCTGAAGCCCCTGTGCGGTGGTGGAAGAAGCATTGCTTGGACTTCTAACAGCATTCTGCAGTCGGTGCAACGCGTGTGTGCACGAGCGGGACGCTGTTGACAGTGTGAGTGAAGAGAGGCCGCGCGAATTAACAAAATATCCTCGGATTCTAAAAATACTTCAGCTTATGGGACTCATTTGATGTGTAATGTCTCCAGACATGTGTGTGTGTGTGTGTGTGTGTGTGAGCGTACGCTCGTGTATGGCACTTTGCTTATTTTCTATTGTTTAAAGAGCCACATGAAAGTTTCCCTACGCTCAGTAAGATTGTCTGTTTTTTTCATCACAAACACAACCAGAAATATGTTGGCGCAGTCGCTACTATTGTGGTTTTTTTTTACTGATCCTGGTCCAGATTTTACATTATGTGTCCAGTGGATTTGAACTGTGGAGGTGTGTACACATTACTGCCAGCTGGCTGTAAGCTCAATGCATCAAATAGGAGTGGAAAAAGGTTTAGGATACATAAAGCACGCTTTTGTGCTGCAGCCAAACTTGTCCAAGTGAAAAGGTTCAGGACTGCAGTCTGGAAGAAGCTCAAGGAAAATAATGGTTGCTCACGGCTGAATGTAATGGAGTAAAGGCCATTATGTGAGGAGGAGGAGGAGGAGGGAAGAAGAGTCAGTCTGTCCACTGGTCAAGTGGAGGTGCTTTCTCTAAAAGCACCTGCCGTTCTTTGTTGCACTAAAACAAGCAGGGTTGCCTCCCTGAAGACCTCCAGATGATGATACTACCACCTGGAGCTCCAGGCGTCTCCCTGCTCCACCTTTCCACTGTAGGTAACTTCAACATGCAACGCAAACAGCGAGCGACTTCCAAACAGCCCCATCTGCGCTCATTACTCGCTCTTTCTCACTGTTTAAGAATTCCCATGCGGTTTGAAGCTTTTCTCTAATGAAGCACAATTAAAATGAAAAGAAGGTAATGAAAAATATTTACCCCCAGTCCAATGAAGTGCCTTGGGAAGTTGATGACTGCTCTTAATAAAAGCCATATGCCTGTTCTTATAAAATCCTGTTTTTGTGGCACACATTTCTTAGGCGTTGGCTGTTGTGCCAGTAAATGAATTAACTCCTGACAGTGGGTAGGAGAGCAGTAAAAGGCAGTTTATCAGAAGCAGGAGATTCGTGCTGCAGTCGTCACCGTGCCAAATCTCCAGCAGAGATAACCAGTCGTTGGACTTTATGGAAAGGCGTTCGTTGAACTGAGATGTTTATGCTGAAGCGCTTCGATAAACACGTCACATTATCTTTTTTCCTGGTCTTACGTTAGCATATAGAACAATTTGGTAAACATATCTGAGGTGGCTCTGACGGGAAATGAACAGCTGACCTTGGCAGTATTAGAGGCATGCATTATTCATCAAGCTGGAGGGAAATCTTTTTTTTTTTTTCGTTTCAGGAAACATCCCAAAATTTCCAAAGCGGTGACTTGAAATGCAAACATGCACATGAAAAGTGAGCAAAACCACAAATAAGCGACATACAGAAGGCGGGATATAAACTACAGCCAGCCACCGAGGCCGAATCTGCAAATCAGAGTTTTTCCACTGGCTTCGAGTTTACATTATAAACCTTGACCAATGTTTTAGTTCCTTAAACTATGACAACAGATCTTTTCATGTGACAACATGTTAAAATATCCATTAAAAATCCAATCTGGGTTGAAAGTTGATACTCTTTTCCCAGCACCAGGACCAGCTTGCAGCTGTTATTCAAGCACAACCTCCAGCCACTTTTCAGAAGCGTCCTTGCAGTGCAGTGGATACAGCATTGCTGTGCTCTGTTTATTGTTCCATGTGTATTAGAGGTGACAGCTTTTAGAACAGCCCAGTAACCATATTTATCTGGTCATTGTTTCACAGCTGTCATTTATTCTCTAAATTAAAGTTTTGATTAAGTCGAAGTTTTAAAAAAAAAGTAGTTTTTAATACGTCACTGTGGTCATGTTGTTGTTTTATCTTAACACTCTCCTAAGTGTCTTTGATCCTTCTGAGCCCACAGCTGTCTGTTCTGGCCTTGAAGTTGTTAAGGTGTGATTGTGGTTGTTGTATATTGTGTGCAGTTATGTTAAGGTAGTGTCGTAGCTTTAACAGTTTATAGTCACCTGTCCAGTGCACGAGTACGTTTTATTGAGCTTATTGTAAGACTTGGGATTTTTGTTAGCTGAAAGAACTGGTTGATCTCTACTTGCCTTTAAATGAGGACTCAGTGCAGGAGCACAGAGAAGCCTAAACCACAGAGAGATGCTGCATCTCTCTGTGGTTTAGAGAGATTCACAGCACCATCACCTTGCTGTGATGGTGCTGTGAACACTTAGGGGTAAAAATAGGCCCACAGCCCCTTTTTTTGTCTTTTTTTATTCTTAGCACTGAAGGGGTGATGAAACGAGCAACAATAAATGGTTACGTTGCTGTGACGCACTTCATGTGACAGCTCTTCAGAACAAATTTTGATGTGACATAATGTTCCTAAAATTCTGGATGGGAATTCACGATTCCCATAGGAAAAATGACTTGATTAGTGGATGTGTACTCTGCCGAAGTCACTGGTGGTCATGCTACAGCTATTCACCAAGTTCAGCTTCTTGTCATGAAACTTTAAACAAACATGCACGACTCCCTCAGGATTTCAAGGGGTTTTGCAGACTATATACAACTCCTGAGAGTGATAGCAAGAACAGTGTGAGCAATCCAGAACAGGACTGAGGATGTGGAAAACATACTGCAACATGCATGAAAAGGAACGTCACGCTCTGTGCTTGCTGTGTGGACCGCCTCCAAGTTCTCAGGTTTAAGGTTGCAGAGAGGCCTGAGTGGATTATGAAATTTACATGTATGGATACAGCCGTGTTCTTGGAGAACAGGGATTCACTTTCACAGCTTTGGTGACTTTAAGTGAGGTCTAATCACAAACAACAATGAAGAAATTTTGTCCACTAAGAATCTTAAGAAAGAAACTTCTTTCCACTCGTCAGAGATCTGAGATGTTTCCACATGAGCTGCTTGACTGAAAATACTCTCAGTCTGGGGTTGAAGTGTCACCGTCTCAACATATCAGAGAGCTCTCAATGGTAACATGCAGCTGATATGAGAAGCTGTGACCAAAATTCTGTCAGAGGGGAATTGTTGAGAAAACAGTAAAACAGTGAGGACTGGACCGATGGCAACATAATGTCCTTGTTTCGTTATATTCCCACGATGCTTTCACCAGAAGGCTCACACAACCAGCCTTCTGAACTTGTGTTCAGGATATTTTTAGGGGGAAATCATCTCCCTTCGGCTCCTTGAGAGCCTGACAGGGTCGCCCGAGCCGAGGCGCGCTCTCTCGGGCTGATCTCTGATCGGATCCAGATGCTGCTGGAGTGTGGAAGGGGACAGCACAGGAGCGTGGAGGCTTCACGGCAGCACTGATTGATAGGGGTCAGGATCAAGTTAGGAGTCACATTTCCTGACTGTGATCCCTCTTTCTGTCTCATTTTCTCTCCTCCTAATGCTCTAACCATACCCAGCCATCGCGTCTGCTGTCACGGTGTCTCCCGACGCCTGTGTTTTATGCTCTCGGCTGAGACGGCACAGAGCTCAGCGGGCAGCGTTACGCTCAAGTCTGGCACTTTGCCTCACCTCTGCTGAGCTTTAATGAAGTCTTTTACTTTCATTTAACTAGAATTTGTGGGTGCCCCAAACTAGTCTTTCAATGAATCTTTCCATCCTCCAAACTGTGAAGTGTTAATAATAGCAAAGCAAAAACAAAACAACGAGTGTAAAACTCCAGCTGTAGAATATTTTCCACAGTGTGATTGAACAGAAGAGGTTTAAAGCTCAGATTTGTCACTGTTGCTTGTTCCATCAGCCAGTCACATATGTAACATATGTCCACTGTAAGTCTCTGCTTCTCCTTCCCTTCAGGACCATGCCGACCCTGCAGAGCTCTGCCGTCCTGCTGCTTTTTAGCATCCTGATTGGACTGAGCTGCTCTCTGGACCCAAGAGACCCCAATGTGTGCAGCACGTGGGAGAGGTGAGGCCTGCTTAAACACACAAACAAACAACTGTCACTGTTATGATACAATGTAATCATCATACATTGCATATATGAAAAAATGCAATTTACTAAATTTAAAAGTTAAAGTGGTCAGACGAGACATTAGGACACAAAAACAGCCAAATAAAAAGAACATTGGTGTTATTTATGGTACCTCCTCTGTGGAGGCTCAAAGTCAACTTTCTAATTAAATTTCAGCATCACTTTTATTGCTTTAGTCATTTGTGTTTAGGATAAAACTATTTGGGTGACTAACAGACCAATCAAATGCAAGAAAACAGAGTTCAGTCAGACAATTTACTGTAAAACAGATACATGACATGTCTTTACTAAACTGAGGCCACAGTATGGCAGAAATTTACAATGGCATCGAGTGTTGTTGATGTCATCTACACCCAGAGTGTGTGCTTCAATTCTGTCAATTCCATCTTTCTCACAGACTCATCTAATAGCTATTTAGATAATTCAGACAGGACTGATGATGATGACGAACAACACTGCCACTCATAAAAAATCTCCTATGAGTGGGTGTAGTATTTACACTGTTTCTGCTGTTCTGCCTTACAGCTTCACCACCTCAGTAAAGGAGTCCTACTTGCATCCTTATGACCAAGTGGGAGAGGAGCCCTGCTCGGATCCACGGACTTCCTACAAATGCATGCGCCACAGGTAGCTGAAGCAGAATGACTCATTTCCTTCCTGACTTCCTCTTCCTGCCAGGGGATAGTCAAAACATAATGTGCGCCCTATGTTATTCTTTCAGGATCACCTACAAAACAGCCTACAGGCAGGCGGTGAAGACTGATTACCGCAAGAGATACCAGTGCTGTCCAGGCTACTACGAGAGTCGAGGCAAATGTGTCCGTAAGTAGCTGTGGAAACCTTTGCACTCTTTGCTCTTACTCGTGCATCAGTGTCATGTTACTAAGACAGAAAGGTGAGACAAATCGGTCTGGAGAACTTTTAACAGAGACCAAAACCAACATTAAAGTTCTCTCTACAAGAATGAAACAAGATAGATGTGAGTAATGATTAGACTGTTACATTTTTCCTTATACTAAAGATGTACAGCCACAGCGATGCTACTCACTGGTTTCACTTAACAAGGCAGCGAAGTTTAAAGTTATTAGCTAAGTGGAGCAAGTTACATACAAGTGGAGCAGGTGCGATGCACGGACACAGTTATCTTCTAATTGGTGTCTCACAACAGGCTGATAAAAATACAAGGCTGTGTCATAGACAGACATTTATTAGTTAATTCTATTTAAGTGTATTCTGTTGCACTTCTATTTAAAAACAGGAATACAGCGAACACGGTGCAGAGAACCTCACCAGACAGCTCTCAGGAAAACTGCAGTTCCTCTTGTGGCCACTTGTGACTGGTTTGAAAAACAGCCCAATCCCCTTTGACTTAAAAGGGGATTCCCTTAAAAGGGAAAAACTTAAAAGCATTAGAAATCATGTGAACAGCTGGTGTTAAAAACAGCATCCCCCCCCCTCCCAACCCCCACCATAATAACAACCGTATTATTGGTTGTATAACTCGAGCTTTAGCCGGCACCCTGCAAGGCCTCATCTTCAAATTCAAGTCATTGAATCTATCGAGGATGAGAGATTAACAGAATTATCTGAAGACACACAGCTTATTGTGCAGCTTATTGTGAGGCACAGCCTGTCCAGCAGGTTTCTCAGGGACAAGATAAGTGTCTGTGCATCTGTACAGGTTGTGGCTGCTGCTTTGCTCTGCCCTGTCATCCAAATATGTCACCTTTTGTCTTTAAAAAAAGCTGACGTGGAAGCAGCCAAAATACTAATGTTAAGGCACTGAAACGAAGAGTACAAAAGGAAAAGCATTCTGACACTGGCTTATAGACAAAAACAACATCAACCAAGTCAATCAGTACCAACACACTGATTAGTTTGCAAGCAATACTGTGCTACATTTGTGCACCCAGTAACTCATTCACATTACTCAAAGAAAGTGTTTTATTTCCTCTTTTTCCATGCAGTATGCATCGTCAGTATGAGCAGCACGTGGCACACGAATAACCAAAATTGTAGGTTCACTACCCACTGGAGTTTCTCATCCTGCTGGCAGTAATTGCTGGAATCTTTCAGAAAAATATATTTGATGTGTTTTCATTCCAAGATTTCACATCATTTTAGGAACTTTTGTTATAATAGTTAAGCTTCTGTTGAGTTCAGACGTGCGGCACTGCTGCCTCTGCAGCTCAAAGCAAAGAATGCTCCATATCAGTGTCATCATTTGTATGAATTCAGCATTTGATCAGCTTGTTTTCATGTATCATGATGCAAAAATAAAGTATGTAAGCTCATTTTTTAAATAAGTAAGTATTCTATATCCTATATATTCATTTTTTCTTCTCTAGTGATGGTGGCCTTAAAGTAAGAGGAGCTAAAGCAGCTTGTTGGTAGAGGATGAACTGACGGGCTGCACTGAGACCCATTAAAACCTGAATCATACAAAGATTCTTCAGTAAAGTCAGAGAGTAAAAATATGACGCTGGAAATGAGTATAATACATTCATTAAAAAATTACATTATAGAGTAGTAAAGCAATTTTACCAATCCATTTTTACAGCTTCATTTTAATTAAAGTTAAAACTTTCAACCACATTGATTTGATTTGTGCCTCAGGTATTGTATAATCATGTTGTCTTATAATTGCTGTACATCTAAATGACCCCAACTTAAATATACGTGGAAGTATTTGGTGCTCTTTTAAATGGCATCACAATTTGAACTGCAAAAACAAAACAACTTAACAGGTAAACTCATAATCTCATCATTATCTAATGTTCTGCTTAAAAACATGGTTCTTCTTGTTCATGAAGATGTTACTCAAGGTGTATGTACACCTAAACAGTGTGACACGCTCATCACCCACAGCAGCCTCTCCCACCAGGAGAGTTTGCCCAACAATGTAATGTAAATTGCTCAGAACCAGCTTGAGGAACATGACAAAGATCCCAATATGCCAAATCTGCCTCCAACCTCTCAAGATCCCCGTCTGACTGAGCATCCAAGGAATAAACTGGTACAAACCCAATTTTCTGTGGCTTCACATTGCAAGCCACACGACTCAGAAATCCACCATCCATGCCCTGAAGGGGCAGAGTGGGTTTGTTGGTACAAGGGAGACACAATATTAACCCCACTTGTAGAAATAAGACTCTGTAGGTGGAAGTTTGAAGTTATCGGCTTTTTCACACAAACGTGGGGCGCCTGAGTTTGTCAGTTTATATAAAAAAAGTATTTTTAATAATATAAAAGTTGTTCATGATACACTCAAAACAATAATTCTTTGCCCTCATGGACACAAAGCAATAAATGTGAGTGAAATAAAACTGAAATATATTAAATCAAGTAATTAATCATTAAGGAAAATATGATTTGAATGTATACAAATCAAGTCAATTTAATTTGACCAGATATCATTAAATGTAACATTTTCCATTGTACTTATGTAACAAAATGAAAAGTTAGTTAAAGTCGGCATTCTGGGTTAAAATATTTATTTGAGTGTATTACCACCGATGAAGAGACCCAACTGTCATCATACAAGGACATGTTTCTATTGGTCCAGACTCAGTATGTCAGCTCTCTGGACATACTGATATAATGGAATTCAGGCACGAAACACATTGAATTTAAGACATGAGTAAATATCACATAAGGTTATAGTACTTCTTTATTAAGAAGTATTCTAATGCAAAGGGCTAAAATTTGCAAGAAAGCAGTAAATACGTGCACATTTAAACCCTGATCTGCAAAGCAATTCACCCATTGTGCATCACTTTGTAACTGATGGTTAGTTAGTAACCAACTGATGTTGCAAAGGTGACGCTGTGTAGTGTATTTACCACAGTCAACAGTTTCTTCAGACCCGTTGGTATTTGCTTCAATCACTTGCCTGAAACATGACGCAGGTTTAATCGGGAGCTTTGTGTCTCTCTCCACATGGCTGCTACTCTCTTCTTGGCTGGTTTAAACAATGTGACTGATCAGTGTCGTCGCATAGGTTGGACCTGTTGCAGCTGTCAGCAGCGCACTGACACTCTCTTATTGCTTACAAACAGCAGCGACAGATATAAATAACACGAAACCACTCGTGAGCCTGCATGGTTTGAGGAAATTCTACAGTAGCTTCACAGACCTTCCCATTCATCGCTGGATGATCTTAGGAGTAAAGTATGATAATAAGAAGGCTTGCGTGCTTTGTGCTTGAAAAACTGACATTTTGTAGACGGATGCTTGTCGCCCAGCAGAGATAATATGCGTTTACGGTTGCCTATTGTGTGCCACCTTTAGCCCAACCTCTGATTTTCATGACTGACACGAGAAAGGCCAGAACGGAACCAGATGAGCGTGTTTTGAGCTTTGTAATTGAAATATCCTCCATCGACGTGTCATCTATAGCTCTGAACCCAGTTTCTGTACAATGTAGTGTTTTTTTCTAAATATATATAATTACCTATAATTATGTTTACCTTGTTCGTTTGATGACATGTTAGATCCCCAAGTTTCCCTCCCCCAGTATCCGCACGCCTTCAATTAAAGGGGAAAAAGTAATCAGTAAAATTACTGTTTATTGAGTTTGAATTGAAAGAAAAACATGTGCATTCGCAGCACGTTGCTGTCAGCAGAGAAAACGCTTTTGTAACAAAAAAATTAAAGAGATTTGTAGTCTCCAGTCATAAATGCATGTTTGAATTCACTTAATTAACAGCAGAGCCGTTTATGATGTTGGCTTGCGCACAGCTGAGAGACTCTTTTTACAAGGAAGCTCCTTGACAGTCTGAATGGCATCTTAACGCTGGAGCTTTCAATTGCATGGTTGAGCCCAGCTGTCGAGCTGGCAGCTCGTGCGCCGCTTACAATGGGTGGAATACATTTACAGGGAAATAATACAGTTGAATAGATTTTGATTGTATAAACAACTCGGATTTGTTGCTTTGAAATCTATTTCATGGTGTTTAATGATTAAAAGAACAAAATCATGCCGACATGAAGCATAATTAGTAACTCTGGAATCTTACAAAAAATGGAAAAAGCTTAGCTGCAAGGATTAATCAATCAATGAACCAAGCAGTAGAAAATCAATTTGTCATTTTTGTGATGATTTGTTGCACTTCTGTTTTGTATCATTGCAAACTGAATATCTTTGGAGCTGCACAGAAGACGTCTGAAGATGTCGTCCCAGCTTCTGGAAAGTCATCTGTTATTTTTTATTTGCTTTACTTTAAAGAGATTTTGCAGACTTTTACACAATGATTCCACAAAATAATCTGCAGTTTAATTGTTTTCTTTTCTTCAGCTTGTTTCTTGCAGTCTTCAGTGGCAGACAGTGACTCTGACTCAAACTTGATTTGAGTGAAAGTGAGTTTGTTCTTTCAAAGCCAGGAAAAAGCTTGTTGCTGCCATTGATTACGACAACGTCTTATTCACACATCACTGCAATGTCTCTGTAAACCGGACTCATCACAGCGCATCAAGTCTAACTTTTAAACCAATAACTCATCGCCGTGTCCTGTAGTCTGCTGTTGGCCGGCCATCTCGCTCTTGAGTCATGGGTATGTTTTTATTTACGAGGCCATGCTGGACAAACTACCCTCATATCTTCGGAGTGATTTCATGGAGCTCATCGTCCAATCATAATCTCCCAAGACACATCCCCCGCTGCCTGTTCCAGCGTATGAAGAGAAAACAGTATGTTTGCTACTGCAGCCAGTATGAGTTTGCAGAAACAAATTGAGTTAAATATGTGGTATCCATTAGGTAAAAGGCTTAACTAACCTAGCAGTAAATTGTTCTTTTAGTCTGGACTGTATATAAAAGAAGGACATAGGTAATGCAACATCACCAACTGGTTAATGGACTCTGGTTTTAAAGCCTTGAGTTGGTCATTTTGATCATCACCATCTCGGTTTATTGAAACCAAGCATGATAACGAGGGATACTTCTACCAAGGATAACTTGGCTGAGCTATGACGTGAAGGGATTTTGCAGTGATACCAGACTGACTGAAAAAAGCAACATATCAGACTATTAATTAAATAAATGGTTGTTTGCATGTGAATGGCTTCAGTCTGTACCATAAAGAAAGACATGTTTTTAGGTTTTCTTAGGATCAGTTGTTTTGCAGTTTGAAAGGTTAAGTTGAAAGGTAACTTATAGGTCTATAATTTTCAAAATAAACCCCAAACCTTCAGTTTAGTTCAGTTTTATTCATATAAAGCCAGTTCACAACAATGGTCACCTCAAGGTGCTGTATATTGTTGGTAAAGCTCCTACAGAATTAGAAAGAAAACCTCAACAATCAGACAGTTTCATTGTGCAACACTTGGCCACTGTGGGAAAGAAGAACTCCCTCTCCACAGGAAGAGGCTTCCAGCAGAACCATGCTCAGGGAGGGGCAGCCATCTGCCACCACTGGTTGACATAAAGAGACAGGAAAGAACACACACGGTTGTCAGAAGATAAAATCTGATGATATCCAGTAGTAATATAAACACATGGAGAATGAAATAGGTGTGGAGAAGAAAAACCTAGTGCGTCATGGGAAGTCACTGGGCATAGCTGAATGGATGGCAGCATAACTACGGGATGGTCTAGGGTCATTATATCCAGCCCTAACTATATGCTTTATCAAACATGGAAAGTTTGAAGGCTATTCTTTAGAAGGCAGACTCTCAGAGAGGGCGTTTGTCTCCTGAAACCAAACCCGGAGCTGATAGCTGAGCGCTCTGCCTCCCATTCCACTTTTAGAAATTCTTGGAAACACAAGCAGTCTGAGAGTGAAGTGTTGTGTTGGGCTGATACATGGGTCTTTAAGATACGATGGGGCCTATTGTATGTGACGAGACGGATTTGAAATTTACAATAAAATGCAGAAGTCAAACCTGCCGCTGAGACCATAATCTGGTGTTTAGTGAACGTCATTTTCTCTTATTTATAGACGGACTACTTCCTGCACCAGACTGATCACCCCTTGCTTGCAGATAGAAAGAATGCAGGTTTATGCATTGCTTTTTAAAAACTGCGCATGTCAATTTTTCATACACACACCTGTCTGTTAGTAAGTCTTCATTTTCTTTGTGCCCTCATACTTTGTAACCTGGTTTTTACAACAGTTTTATTTGCGTGCCTGATGTTGGATCGTCCTGATTGAAAGCACTTGGCGGGTCTCTCTGGAAAAAGAGGTCACCAGCCTCAGTGGAACCTGGTTAAATAAAAAGCTACTGTGCTTTTGTGACATTATCCAGTTTTCTGGCCAAAAGCTTGAGATAACGTAAACATTAAAGCTTCTTTAAAACCCCGACCCTTCTCCACAAATCTGTTTCTAATTCTGTTCCTTCTCACCAACAGCTCGCTGCACTAAGGAGTGCGTCCACGGCCGGTGTGTCGCTCCAGATCGCTGCCAGTGTGAGGGAGGCTGGCGAGGAGATGACTGCTCCAGCGGTATGAATCAGCCTTCCTCTCGCTTACAGACATTTCCTCACTCTCGTCTCTTCTCTCATTTGCTGTTTCTCCTGTTGCTTTCGTCTCTTTCCCTTTCCCTTCAGCTCCACAGAAAAAATACACTTCACATTCACAACAGGAAATGAGCAATGGCCATTAGTCAAGTGGCTGATCTTCACATACACCTCTCCATCACACACTGAAGCCTCTCCAATGGAAACAGCAAGGGAGCATTACCGCATGCACAGCAGTGACTCATTTATATCAGACTCAGTCCAGAAACCAGTTTACTAGTCCACAAGGACGCTGAGCTGAACCTCCAACGTCCGTTCACGGTTACTGACAAAAAAAGAAGAAGCAATGTCAAGTCAGCTTTTCTTAAAAAAGCAGACATGTGCTGTCAAAATAAAAGGAATAAAACAATCACTACCTACAAACACAAGCAGTGAAGAGGTGGTAAGATAAGTCCTGTTTCATGCACAGAAAGGAGTCCATAAAGAAGAGTTAAGGCTGATCCTGCTGCACTTTTTGGCTCCTGTTACAGAACTGAAGTCAGCAGAAATGGTTATATAACCACTGAGAGTCGTGAATCTAACCCTGTTTGCCTTTTTTGAAATCTTTTTAAATTTGATCATCCAAACAGTGGAGTGTGAACTCAGAGCTGCATTTTTAAGGGGCTCCTGTTTCCCCCGTTTTCCACTATATTCAGCCCCATTTCATCGCACTCAGCTGGGTCAACAGTACACAGCCCCCCTCTTCTGTTTTCCCCCATTCGTTTGCAGAGAGCAGGAATTAGCTTTAGCGGGTAGCGGTTGATGCCTTGACAGTGGGATGATGGGAAGAGGAAATGGAAAATGTTACCCCACTCTCCTTCTTTTGCATGGCTCACTTCTCTCTGTCTCTTCTTACACCTCCCTGCTACCCTAACCCACACTTTAAGTTTCTTCTTTTCTTTTCTCCTCTTCCACTCCTTTTTCTTCTTGGCTCCTGTAATGGAGTCTTTCTTGGCAAAATATGACCCCACACTTCCTGGATGCCTGTGTGTTGAGCTAGTTAGCTGTGGGAAAGAGGAGAGGGGCCTAATGTTTTCATACTGAAAACATTCTGAATATAGAGACTAGATTTAGAAGGGAGATGGCTCAGCGTGACAAAAAAATAGAGGAGGGGGTTGGGATGAAATGGACAAACAGGCAATGAAGCCTCTGGTATTCCTCACGGATAGATTTTCTAGCTCCCAGCAGGTTTTTCAGGGACCCTGAAGGGTGAATTCCAAAAATCACCAGTGAGTGCTGCTTGTTAGGTGATCAGGAGATTATGTGGACTTTGGATGCAAGCAAAACCCAAGGCGCTGCTTGGACAATACACACGGGAAAAGGAAGAATGTTCCCATCGTGTCTGTCTGCATTCTTCATAAAGGACACTGAACACATGCCAGCTCTGAAGCGTGCAGCAGTTAGTGGCTTTACTTGCATGCAGTAATGCAGATTCCAGTTTGAATCACAGTAGTGGTCAAATTAATGACTCGTCCTGTGGCTAAATAGTCATATCTTCAACTCAGAAGGGAGGAGGATTTTCTGTTTAACTTTATTTAGAAATTCTTTTTTTACAAGATTAACTATTTTTAATGCTGTACATACGCAGGGACAGAACGCCAATGCCACTGAAATATCAATAAGAACTCAAATTAATTTATAATTTAAGCTTGTTTTGTAGTTTTACTGCCACAAGTTGAGTAGCAAGGTTTGTTTTATAGGATCATTCATGTGTATGTATGCAAGTGTGAGGTGCATAAGAGCCCTGTGATCCTGTGAAAATCCATATTTAAGGTTTGCAATTTAGGATAATGTCACTTTGATTAAAAAAAACTGTATATATATATATATGGCTGCTTCCTTTCATTGGTCACCACAGGGGCTCATCTGCTTCCATCTCACCCTATTATTAGCATCCTCTTATGTAACACCAAGTCTCTCCATGTCCTCCTTCACTACATCCATGACTCTGTGGTCTTCCTTTTTTCCTCCTGCCTGGAAGCTCTGTCTTTATTATGTTTTGTCCAGTATATCCACTCTCTCCTCTGCACTTGTTCAAACTGTCTGTCTAACACCAGTCTTTTCTAATCTTGTCCATCCTGGTCACTCACCTCCAGCTCGGCCTCCTGTTTTTCTGTCAGCACCACCATCCCCAAACCAAACATCACAGCAGGTCTCACTGCCATCTTGGAAACCTTCCCTTTCACTCTTGCAGCTGTCCTTCTGTCACACATCACCCCTGACACTCAGCTCCATCCTGCCTGCACTGTCTTCTTCATTTCTCTTGTGGACTGTCTGTTTTTTGGGTGGTTGATCCTAGATTTTTAAACTCAACCACCTTTACCAGCTCTCCTCCGTACCAACTTCATCCCAGCCTCCCCCGCCACACTTTTATTCTGTAGGATAAATTTCTCTAATCAAAGTTGAGAAAATGTGTTTCTCAGATATTTCATAGTTCAAAATTGAAGGCCATCATTTCTGCACGTGTTACTGTGATAACCTATCAGGCACAGGGCAGGTTAATGAAGCACTTTCACAGATGCAAACACTTAGAAAGGAAAATGGGCCTTCAATGCTCCTTTGACATCAACGTTTGGGGAATTTTGACTCTATTATAATGATTAAATCAGTGCTGGACATAGGTTGGCTAAAGTACGTGAAACAAACAGATGTGAATAATTAACTGATGAAGGACTCAGCCAGCTGGGAGCTCAGAAATCACATCTCCAATGAGGGAGTGATGATAAGATTTGTTTGATAGCATTTGATTCTTGTTATGTGTCATATTATGAACCGATTCATTATCATATTTGTGTGGAGAAGAGCCTGCTAACTCTCAAACTCATAACACTGAGTAGAAACGGAATAAAAACGCTTCCATGTGAATCAGGTAAGCAGAGGCTCTACTGCCTACTACTAATGGCTCAGTTTGAAGTCATTGTTTTGCAATGTGCAGCTGTTGGAAAACTATGCCAGCTCTGATAAACGGAGGTGATAGTCTTGGAGTCATGTAATTCTCATGGAAATCGAGAGCTGGTTCCCAACTGGAAGCAGTACTTGATTCTAATCCATTGTTGTACTGCAAACTGTTGTCAGCAAATATCCAGTTGTGGACATCTGCAGTTGCAAAATTACTAGACATAAATCTAAAGCATCCGTATCCAAACATAGTTTTTTAGATGAGTTTAAGGACATACAGAATCATGTTTTGGATAATTCTATTGGCCGCTGCAGGTTTGGCAGAGACTTGGTGGTGCGAACATTTAGAGTAACGGAGCCCTGTTTGGGCCTTTTGGCTGTTCTGTTTCCACTGAAATCATGTGTCTCATGATGTGACGCAGCAATACTGCAACAGCTTGACTGTTCAGTTCAGTTTAAAAAAAAAGTGAGACAATTTAATAAGTTGTATTGTCGGTTATAACATCCAACTACTGTATTTGGCAAATGTTAGTGTTCGATATTACAGCAGCCTGCACTCACTGTTCTTTCACACCAAAGCAAAGAAACATTTTCACATGCTATGATTACATAGAAGCTGGGGAAATCCATATTTGTGCAAATTAAGACATGTCAACATGAGCAAAACATTTGCTGCATGTATGTCCTGAAAACCCTTAAGCTAGGAGGGCAGTAAAGAGACAGGAGAAAAAGAGAGGGTTCGGAGACAAGTGAGCAAAGTCATAGCAACTAATGTTAACATGTGAAAATATGTTTCCATAACTTGATTTAAGCTGTACTGGGTTCCCAATGCGACTGCATTCATGTGGAGGAGGATGTGATTACATGAAAGAAAGCTTTTTCTGAGTTTTCATAATCAGCGTTGAGCAAGACTCAGCAGTTTTGGGGGAAGCTCAGATATGCCTTAAATGGTGACTGCGCTTGTTTTCTCTCATGGCAAGAACTCAGAAAGAGGTCCTACAGGCTGGTTTCTGCAGTAAGAGCATGCACAAAGATGAAACTGTTTCCTGCAACAGAAACAAGGCCAATGTCTCCACTGAAGACATTTTTCTTTTTCTTTGAGCGAATGCAGCTGATACAGTAGCAGCACTATCAGACCACTGCATGTTTGATACCTCTTATACAGCTATATCAAGAATACACTGTCCATATCCGATATTGAAAGCCCAAGTAACAAGCATGGCAAAAGGGATTTATAATCATTGTATCGAAAGTTTAAATTCACATATATCCAGATTACTTATCCTCTTGAAAATCAATTTCCACAGTAAGACTAATAAAAATGGGATTATAGCTTCCTGTTCACGTCCACTCTGGTAAATTTCATCCACTCACTCAAACAACTGCTGGTTGTATCTGCAGTCAGCTCTCAGAGCCCTTCAGTAAATCTGCCCCGGTGCCCTGGAGAATGTCTGTGCAAACATAATCGCTGCTCCAGCTGAGTTTCTCGTTACTCAACATGACATACTGCCTTCTCCAATGCCCACACAGAGAACAAGTGAAGTTCCTTTAAACAAAAGAGGCTTCGAGTAAGTGCAATAAACTCTACAGTCTGTGGCAGCGCGATTTGCTCCACGACAAATTTGGCTGTACATGCTGAGAGTAACAGTCAATGCAGTTCCTTGTATTTTTCTAAGCCGTGCTCGGGCGTATGTTCAACACCGGCAAAGGTGGGAGTGAGACACGTACACGCATGGAGTGTAGCTCACAGAGCAGAGGATGATTCACTGCAGGTCAGCGTGAAATTGCTGGAAACACTTTTAGCTCTGGAGAAGATAACCGACCCCCATCCATCAGTTACGTCAGTGTTATTGGATATCACGTTTTCTCCGATGTCCAAGATAGTCGAGGTAATTGATGAGAAATTTTAAGAATGCACCCATGACCAATCTGGGTTCTCTCCATGGACTAAGATCTCTTCATCATGAACTGAAATCCAAACCTTGTGTGAATTTCCTCTGCGTACAAGCCTCGAGAGCCAATCACCAGGCTCCTGCATTATTTTCCATTAAAATCCTCTCCGTGCAGATCTCCCTGCCAATTCCAAATTATCTGCCAGTAACGTAACATTTGCGAGCTAAAGGGATAGATTTGGTTGAGGAAGAATGGCATCAGACACGCCCTCTCTTGTTGTTGTTGAACAGGGCACAGAATCTAATCACATTTGTTTCTGTTTGTTTCCCATGACATCATATATTTGAGCGTACATAACAGTGTGTGGGAAGGAAAATCAATTAGGAGCAACAGAACGGACACAAAATCATCATACTTGCACCGTATGCAAGTTTCAATAATCATGTGTAATGTTATTTTGACTCGGTGTTTTTATTTCATTTCCAGCATCGCAGAGTAGCTTTGACTCACTGTTTAGAGAAGCAGGAGGTTTTACTGGAAAACGACTGGTTTAAATCACTGGAAAATGTGGGCAATGAAAGTGAGAAGCTCCGTCGTGTGAGTGTGTGCAGTCGTGTGACTGCACGAGCTGTGGGGGTTGTGGAAAAAAACAAAACAAAAGGACAACTTTTCTTCAGAATAAATACAGTAATGCGATGTCCTGTATAAACACATGCTCAGTCTGATTTTTGGAAAGACGTGTTTGAAAGCTGAGCTGAATCCTTTTTTAGCTGAGATCAATCAGGACCACTTCAGCTGAAAGAAGATCATCGTTTCCATCTGCTGTAATCGGGCCGCGTGGCTCTGCTCTGCATCCTGCCAGTTCTTCCTAAAGTCTCATCCACATATGAAGTGATTGCTTGTTTCACTTAGACTTTAGAACATCATTATGTATGTTGTACTTGTATTTCTCACCTCATCACATGCCAGTCAGTGGTATCAATTTCTCCTGTTGGCAGTTGCTTCAGTTGCTTCCCTCAAAGTTGAGAAGAACATATCTCAGGGTGTGCTCTCTTCTCATTAGTCAGTGTTACTCTGACTCATCTCTGCAAATTGGTGAATTTCAATGACATTCCAGGGTCTGTGGTCATTGAACAGTTGCTAGTCTTCTTCTTTCTGAACACCCCTCAATGCGCCATTTACGGTCCTGCGTCAGTTTGTCTTTGTCTACACAAAGGGATTGTGGGACATCAGCCCATGCAGAGACGAGCTTGGTGTAAGTCCTAAAAAAGCCAACGATTCATCCCCTTATGGTGAGAGAGTTATGTGTGGGTCAAATGCTCATGGCTGGAAAAGTTGGCTTGAAAAGGGGAACAAAGATGAAGCATCAAGGATCAAAAAAGTTTTTAACACTTGGCCTCACTCCACTCCAGATGAGATCTTTTTATATTCCCCAGAGCTAAACACCAACAACAGCATAAACACAAAGAAGAGGAGCCCATGTTGCAGGTTCCTGTATTTATTTCGTTACTACCCCCCTGGCTGCAGTTAAGAGCTATAGAAAAGCTATGGCCATACGTGGAGAGCTGCAACAAGAGCCCCAGTAGATGACAGAGCATGCATGGCAGCAGACGTGACATTAAGTCAGACAATTACAAGGAGAAACTGTGCAGCAGGCTGAAACAGGTTACATGTGCCCCATATGAGATCTGAAGGGTATGATCTGAGCAAGCCAATACCATGATTGCGGTATAGATCTATATAGGAACTAACTCTTTCAGTTTGAAACAAAATCAAAAGATATATAAAAATGTTGGAAAAGGCTAATGTTTTACATGATTCAGTATACTGAGTTTGCCCTTTGACCTTTCAGACTGTGACGATAAACACTGGGGAGCGAACTGCAAGCAGCAGTGCAAGTGTGAGAACGGAGCTCTCTGCGACCCGGTGAAGGGATCATGTCGCTGTCCTCCAGGGTTCAATGGACGCTACTGTGAAGAGTCGTGTCCAGCAGGCACATTTGGGAAGCGCTGTCTGCAGAGGTGCAAGTGTGCAACCGGAGGATCCTGCGATAAAGCAACAGGAGAGTGCATTTGTCGGGATGGATTCACAGGGACTTAGTAAGTCCAAACAAACAAAACAGCTCAGCATACCTAAAATCCAACACTGACTTTGTAAAAAGTGATAAAAATTTACAGACATTGGCAATGTTTCTCTATGAAGAACTTACTTTTCAGTTTCATTCAAAATCTGACTCTTGGGTGAGATTTGCATGAGACCACCTCACAGACACCACAGCTGTGCAAGCACGATGATGACAAAATGACAAATCCAAAGTGCCGACATTAACCATATTCACCAGCTTTCCTTCATCTGTTAATGCTAACATTTTCTTAGCAGCCGAGTCTGTACTTTGTATATGTATATATTGCATACTTTGACAATTATCTCACAAATTCTGGCCCCATGATGGTGCTGGATTAAAACTCGAAGGGTAGGCAGTTATTTCACATTTCTGCTTGGGGAATAAATACTGAAAGCACATCTAAAGTCTGTGAGTAACCTTGTGGTGACACTAGAAGAAATGTTAGTAGATGATTATTGGGAATGTAAGGTACAAAAATCGACTTTCAGCTCCAGGCTATGGAAGAAATTCTGATGGAGAAATATGGTCAGATTCTTGATTAATCCTAAGAGTCGAAGCAGATATTCATCCTAATGTGCTGAAAGCGTCTGGTGAGCAAAAGTAAGATCACACTAGACATTTGTGGGACTATATTTAGGTTATCGGATGCAAGAAAATATACAGCTTGAAGATTGATACCTTGTTAGCAGTTGTGTTAGCGGTAACCAAGAAGTTAATCAAATCAGAATGATGCCTGACACACTAATTAGAAATGCTGAAGAGATGCACACCAAAATAGCTCCGACCCCTCGGGGCCTGGACCTCTGTGAGATGTTGGCAGCAGATTCTTTGGGTCCCGTTTATTATGGAGGTGCGGTGGGATGAATTTAGGATTGGGAAGCCATGAGTGCCTGTATAAAATTAGATTGCAATCCATCTAACAGTTCGGATATTTTAGCAGCCTTCTGCGAGTCGCTCTTGCTAAAAGTTAACAGTGTATTTTCCTTTTCATTAGGAGCCGTTTTTAGAATATTGTACTTTGTTAGTTATTTCTTTTGGGAGACATTTATTACAGCACTTGATTAGACCCTACTTAATTACCCGAATGTTCTCCAGAGGTATGTTAGACCCTCATCTTCCCCTTTGCTGATCCATCTTTTTATTTGTTTCCATGAGTTAATTCGAAGATTGAAAAGAGACCCCGATGGTCTACTCTGTACTCCATGAGTCATCTGTTACGCCCTGTTTTTTAGATGCCCCTGAGGATGAGTAAGCAGTAAAAACATTTCCCCACTACACATTAGTGGAAACTCTCATTCTGCCAATGTAAAAGCACAACACTCCACTTTGAGCTAAATAAAAAAGGCGGCTTGGCAACAGAGATTAGGGGATAAATCTGGGTCAATAATTGTGTATATTTGTAGCGTTTTCATATCATCCGTTTTAGAAAATGTAATATCCTTGCGATGGTTGTAATCTCTAATGTGATTGGTTAAAGACACATTCCACCTGCTCTGATGATTCCCTGCATTACCGGAAGAGGAATTGATGGATCATCTTGATTCTTTTTACATATTCAGCTATTTTTAGACATAAAAACTGCAGAAGAAATTCTAAAATTGAGTCCAGAAGTTGATCTATTATGTTTTTCTGTATTTTCACAACTTGTTACAACAAAAGTACGCAGACCAACATTTCACAATGCACAACACACATGGGCTACAGCAGCAGAAGACCACACTGGATGCCGCTCCTGTCAGCTAAAAACAGGAAACTGACCCAACAAAATCAGATGACAACAGTTTGGGAAATATTACCTGATCTAATTAGTCTCAGTTTCTGTTGTGACATTTGGATGGCAGGGTCACAGTTTGGTGTAAACAACATGAAAGCATGGATCCATCTTGCTTTGGATCAAAGCTTCAGCTTGTTGTTGATTTTGTAATGATGAGTTGGATATTTTTCTTGACGCACTTTGAGGCCCTTAGCATCAAGTAAACATCAAGTATTTATGAGCACAGTGCAACCTTCTTTTGACGACTGCTTCCGGCAGGATAATGCACCATGTAACAAAGCTCAGGTTATACTGAGCAGCTTTTATTTAGCATAACAACGTTTAAATGATCCCAAGATCTGAGTCTAATAAAGCATCTTTGGGATGCAGAGAAACGGGAGATTTAAATCATGGATGTGCAGCTGACAAAACCACAATATAAAGAACATGCCTGCAAAGTGTTTCTTTTCTTTAAGTTGAAAAGAAACTTAAAGAAAAGAAAAAAATATTCACCAAGATTAAAGAAAAAAAAAGCTGGAACCATAAGTCCAAGTGAAAGACGCCCTTTAACCCATTTCCGGTGAAATTTGCCAGACAGCAGAAGGTCCTATAGCTTGTGAAATAAATGTTTCTTCTTTATTGAGCATCAATCAGTTTTCAAAAGGATGAATAAACTAGCTGCCTTTTTCATCTCAGTTCTTCCACATTCATGGAGTCTGCAAGTCCACCCTGGAAAGTTTAAAGATTGATAAGGTTTATTTTGAACTGCGTAATATTCAACACCGCTCTACAATTTTTTTTTTAATGGAGCTGAAAATGAGTACTGCAGGTTTCTGAGTAATGTACCAACACAAATGCAGTCTTTTGTCGCTAAAAGCGGTTAATTGCAGTCAGGAGACATTAAGCCATCTTTTTTCTCCCCCCAGCTGTGAGACCTCGTGTAGGAGGAAATGCCAGGCGCGATGCCCGTGCCAGAATGGTGGCATCTGTAAAGGCAAAGGGATCTGCGCTTGCCCACCTGGATGGACGGTATATTTTGAGGCTTTTAGCTCACACTTTTCTGTTACTCATGCAGGTTGCCAGGTTTTAAATTAGCTCGTGTTTCATGTTCCAGCTGGCTTCGAATTCTGGAAAAACAGTCACTTTTTTGTAACACTGACATTTTGAAAGGATGCACTTGCATGACTTGCACATGTTGTTCTGATTGCGAGCCCATCTGACAGCACATTATTTTCTCAGTGAGTGCAGACGCCGGTGGCATTTTAGTTCATATTTTTGCAATAACGCATCTATATCCATTTGTCTTTTTTGTTTTTCTGTGTGCTTAATGATTTTTCCATTCTGCTGTTCAGGGTCCAGTCTGTACCGAGCGATGTCCAGAAGGAAGGTTTGGGCCAAACTGTACTGAGGAGTGTGTTTGCCACAACAACGGAAAATGTGACGCTGAAACTGGACAGTGTCAGTGTGCTAAAGGTTTCACTGGTCACAGGTAAGCAAGTGATAGTGGATCTTTGGACGGCATGTGGTTGTTTCCGCCTTTTCTTGCTTTTCCTGTGCAGGTGCCTCTCCAGTATGCTTACCGGTGCCACGTCTAATGTTTGGATTAGTCACCGACAGAGAAAAGTTGTCTTCTCGACATTACAATTGAAACCTTTGACTGGAGAAAGCATTTTAAATTGTTTTGACACTGTCATCCATTTTTTTTTGTCTTCAAATTAAAAGGCAGCCTGGTTATGATTTCTTGTAAGTGAACAGGAGTAATTTGAGCATGTTTTTCTCCAAAATTCAGGCAAAACCAAACAGCACAGGCACAGGAATGCAGAACGTTTAGATTTGGTTTGTGCATACTGTGCTCAAACACACATTTGTATATTTTATCCCATTGCCCCAGCTTTTTTCTGTCTGTGTGTTTTCCTGCATTAAGGTGTAAGGAGGAGTGTGCTGCAGGTAGTTACGGACAGGACTGTAAAGGCGTGTGCGACTGTGCTAACGGTGCGCGCTGCTACAACATCGATGGAGCCTGTCTGTGCGAGCCGGGCTTCAGCGGTCCGCACTGCAGGGACAGGATGTGCCCAGACGGCATATATGGCATGCACTGTGAGCGCACGTGTCTCTGTCAGGACAAACACACACTCAGGTAAGAGCAGCTCTTACATGAGTCTGGCAAAAGCTTCATTTAATGCTTTGAATAGTGATGCATGCAGTGTGAAGTGACAAATTAAAAAAACATTCTTGTAATTTGAATTCACATATTTGACGCTACCCTTGTTCTACACTTTATGTTGCGCTGTTTAACCAAAGGGTGGTTTTTTTCTTCTTCTTTTAATAATGTTGTAGGTTTTACAGGACACACAGTTTTATTAATTATATAGTTCGTGTTCACAACACTCTCAGATATTTCTCAAAAAGATCCTGAACAATAATATTATAATAACTGGTTCATAAACATGTGTTATTTACTTTATCTGCATAGTATTGCACCATTTTAACTGTGGCTGATGGCATGTTATTTATATTATCCAACCATCCATCCATCAGTGCTTATATGAAGCCAGAAAGCCATGTTTTCCAAGTCCTTCTCAGGGATCCTTCCCAAATGAGGCCAAATGAGATCTCCTATAATAATCTTGTCTATTCCAGGATCTTCATCCAGTTAGGTTTACCTGGAAATTCCCAAGTATAGGTTAAATGTTATCATATCGTATCATAATGTTGCAGCACAAAATGTAATTAAAGAGCTGCTTTAAGCAGACCACACAGCCACAGACGTTTTCATTTCTCAGGCCTTTGTGGGCATCACGGAGCCTGATTAACATCTTATGCTGCAGTGGCTCCATCAACCATAAAGTCAACCAATGAGATTATTCTCCAGCTCAGAAAAATGGCAGCATCAAATATAATTTCTTTAAAGTGGTTTCGTGCCCCTCTGCAGTATGAAGACAAGTACTGAAGTACATGTAGACAGGCGCTGACTGTGGGTTTTCTTTGGCATTAGGTCCTCTGTTTCTCACTGCTCCATTCATATTTATGTCTGCTTACACTCTCCAGCTGCCATCCAATGAAAGGAGAGTGCACGTGCCAACCGGGCTGGGCGGGACTATACTGCAATGAGACCTGCGCTCATGGTTTCTATGGTCATGGCTGCCTGGAGCCGTGTCTTTGTGTGAATGGAGGGGTGTGTGATGGGGCCACAGGACGATGCCATTGCGCCCCGGGCTTCACGGTCAGTGGTAGAGTAGATTAATGACTCATGACTCACTTTCTATACCTGTTGTGTCTTCATGTAAACCAAACTTTGGGGGTTACTGCAGGGGCTTCACTGTGAAAATCCCTGTAAAAGTGGCACCTATGGCAAGAACTGCTCCCTGGAGTGCTCCTGTAAAAACTATGTGGACTGCTCACCGATTGATGGAACTTGTTTCTGCAAAGAAGGTGATGAATAAAGAAAAACAATCATGAAGGAAAACTGGCCAAAAGGAAAACAAAGACTTACAGTTGATTGTGGGTCTGCAGGCTGGCGAGGACCGGACTGCTCCATCCCCTGCTCCGAAGGAACCTGGGGTCCAAGATGCAATGCCACGTGTCACTGTGCCAACGGAGCAAAATGCAACCCTGCAGATGGATCCTGCACCTGCACGGCTGGCTGGCAGGGGGCGCGCTGTGACCAACCGTGCCCGGTGAGTATCTGGAGATACTGGCAGGAGTTATATATAATATTTACCCTTGAAGTTGTAAAAGATGTTGGAAAACCAGGTATTAAAAGATTCATCCTTTTACAAGACAACGGGGAGCGCTGTTTTGTGACACGTCTGTCCTATGCAGCAGTGTCTTTAGTCTCAGACAGTTTTCTCTGTAGGGCGACAATAAAACAGCCTTGAACCTTGAATACGGATGTTGTCAGACACCATACCTGCACACAAGTGCACAGAGTAACAGCAATAATGCTTTTATGACTCAGCTCGGTGGGGAAACTAGAATGTAAACAAATATATAACATATATTGATAGTGTGTATTTAATAAAAATAACCTGTCACAACAAATCAGCAGATAAAGGTAAATGGAGATCTTAATTAATAAGTGTGCAATAACACACTGAATGCATATAAAATATAAACAAAATAAAAGCAGTGGTTGTCACTTTGTCACTGTGTAACATAAATGCTCTCCAAGATAAGAAAAGTCTGGTCTGTGTTTAGTCCATGTCACACTGATGAGACGAATGGCGTCTTTGATAAGACTGACACTCAAATCATACGGCTGATAATTCTAGGGGTTGTCTGTTTTCTGATTAAGCAGCCCGTAGAAGTGTCCAGCTTTGAATCCCTTACCTCGCCCTCTGTATGCTTCAATCTGCATTTTGGAAAAGTACCCCTCTTGTCTTTGCGATGCCAGCCCACCAGGCTGTCTACACAACATCACATTGCCAGTGTAGTATTTTGTCTCACTCTGACTGGGCTGGCCGAATGTGGAGGAGATTCCCCTGACAGTTCTTTGCCCGTTGGCACTTGTTCATTGTGCAGATGGGCACGTTTGGGCCTGGCTGCCTGAAGAGGTGTGATTGTGTTCATGCCGACGGCTGCCAAGCTACCACTGGGGAGTGCCACTGTCTGCCAGGCTGGTCTGGTAAGTGATGACGTCCTGCTGATGTATCGCTGCCAGCTTGGCTTTGGTGTCACAGATGAGTCTGGTCTGATAAACTGTGAGCCACAGGTTTTAAACCATCCTTTATTCTCATTGTTGTGTGACTTAAAGAAAGTCTAGCTGTAAATGTAAGCAGTGTCAGAGCCAATCAGATTTGTACAATTAATCAAGTTTCTTACTATCAGATATCATACTAGTTACTAATCTCTGTCTCTCTTATCCTGTCTTCCTTCTCTCACTCCAACCGGTCGCAGCAGATGGCCCCGCCCCTCCCTGAGCCTGGTTCTGTTGGAGGTTTCTTCCTGTTAAAAGGGAGTTTTTCCTTCCCACTGTCGCCAAAGTGCTGCTCATAGGGGGTCATACGATTGTTGGGTTTTCACTGTATTGTAGGGTCTACATTACAATGTAAAGCACCTCGAGGTGACTGTTGTTGTGATTTGGTGCTGTATAAATAAAGCCGAATTGAACTGAATTACTAAACACCAATTCCTTCCTCCTTCTTTTTCATATATGACCATTTAAAAAGGGAAGGCGGTGATCTTAAACATTTGTTGCCTTACTCAGCTGTCCAGATGAAGTTTTTTCAATCTGAAATTCATTTTTCTGATTGTCGCGACACCACCTGACTCGACCTGTGAGGTCTAAACTGTAACCCTTTGAAAACAGAGCGTTTCATTTGTGAATACATTTTTCTCCTGTGTTTTAACAAATATGGGACAAAAACGAAACCTTCTAACATGCATGAAATATTTTTTACATTTGTTCCAAGAAAGTCATTTTTTCACTCTGTCTAAGAGATGTGATCTGGCTTATGTTTATGACCTCACAGGGTTAAAGTCATACATATTGCACTCTTATTGACCTCCAACAATTCTTCTATTGACTCGATGAGACTAATATTTTGGGGGTTCAGAGAGGACTCTGTTAACCTAACACGTGTGTGTTTCGTGCTAGTGAAGGTGAACGTTGACATGCTGATGTTAGTGTTTCACTCTTACGTCCATACCCCAGTGCAGCCTCGTAAAGGCTGCTAGACTGGCCCAGTATGAAAAGCACTTTTTTCTGGTTTTGCACCTCCCATCCATGCAAATAAAACAGGCTCTTTGTGTTTCGGGGAAAACGTGTTAGTTACAGTTTTGAAAAATCTTTTTGGTGAGAGCACTAAATTACCAAATATTTCAGAGTTGGCTGCTCAGCAGCAACATTTCTGAAACTGTTAACCACTAAAAACCCTCGTGTTCCCATTTCTCTCTGTTCCTGCTTATCATTTCAACTACATTTTTATCCAGTTATAACCATGTTTTTATGTATTTAGATCAGTAACTGATTTACACTTGGGATAGTGAAAGGCATTCTGCTCTTTACTTTAGCAGATGTAAAACTGTAGGTCCTTTATTAAACTAAATGATGTGATTAGAGTCAATAAAAGTTGTAATTTCCTGCTTCGTTTATGTGCTCACTGCTTCATTTCCTTTAGGTCCCCGCTGCAGTGAGCCGTGTTCAGAGGGCCTGTGGGGGCGCCACTGTAACCAGACCTGCTTCAAGCATTGTCCAAACAGCGACACGTGTTTGAGGGAAACTGGAGCGTGTGTGTGCCGCCCAGGCTACTGGGGAGTCACCTGCCAAAACAGTGAGCGTTGTATCTGATGAGTTAATAAAAAACGACTTAAAGACTCGCTCGCTGTGTGCATTGTCTAATATCAGCCCTACTGTTTCCCTCAGAATGCAGAACGGGTACGTACGGTGACCAGTGCAGTATGACGTGTCAGTCCTGCGGCCAATCATACCGCTGCCATCATGTGACAGGAGAGTGTGACTGTCTACCTGGATACACTGGGCCAAACTGTGACCAAGGTGGGCTTTCTCACTAATCAGCAGTCATCACAAAAAGCCGCTGATCTTTCATTTACAAGTGAGTGCAGGACATTTAGCAGGTTCTTTTCTGTGGTTACAGTTTGTCCAGCTGGCTACTTTGGAAAACAGTGCTCTGAAGTGTGTCTTCCCTGTGCCAACAACTCCACGTGCAACCACCGGAACGGTCACTGTGAATGTTTACCAGGCTGGACCGCTATCGACTGCTCCAAACGTGAGTGCCACAGGATTTCATGCAGAGATGAGAGCGTGGACAGTACGGTGCTTTTGATTTGTTTAGAGTATCTACAGGGTTAGAACTTGAAGTGGTAATCTGTTGATTAATAATCACTATTTTAACTTCCCAGCAGCCAGGGCCTTGCTTTTATCCATAGACCCACTCTAATCATTGGAAGCAGCCAATGTGAGGCGTTGATCTGAGCATCTTGCTTTTCTTTAGAGCTGGAAGTGACCATATTTAAACTACCAGCTGTTGCCAGTTAGCTTAGTCAGCAAGCAGCAATCATAAACTGTCCAGATGCATCACAGAGAAACAAACACCTGCTAATTAGTGCTCGACTAACAAAATACTAGAATTTTCACCAGAACAACTGAAACAAAACAGATATTTGCATTAAAAAGCAGCACAAACACAGGACCAGCTCAGTGACTCAGATTCGCTGAGATGAGGCCTAACAGAATAATAGGAGCAATCAAGTGAGTCCTGTAAAACGTCAACAGATATCTCATACAGATGCTGCTGAAGGGGAAATAAGTCAGAGAAATGTACTTTGTTTTCCAGCGTGTGATCCGGGACGTTTCGGCCAGCTCTGTGCTCAGACCTGTTCCTGTCCAGCCAACCTCCTCTGTGACAGATTTACTGGAGACTGTGTGTGTGAAAACAGAGGCGACGACTGCAAGCAAGGTACGGACCTCATGTTAGCAGAAGTTTGGGAGTTATAACACTGACATTTACAGTACCTTACAATATAAAGCTCCTTGAGGCGACTGTTGTTGTGATTTGGTGCTATATGAATAAAACCGAATTGAACATGTAACCTGTAATGTGTTCATAATAATAATGAATTAATCATGAAAGCTGCTCTGGTTGTTGTACTTGAGCTCTCCTTCCACCCTCTGCTTGTCAGACTCCTTTCAGCAGACGGGGAGCGTCATGAGTCGTCTTAATCCTGGAGAGAGGGAGTCGTGGGGGGCCATCGCCGGCATCGTTGTGCTTGTCATTCTGGTGGTCCTGCTGCTGGCTCTGCTGCTGCTCTACCGCCGCAGGCAGAAGGAAAAGCAGAACAACACCCCGACTGTCTCCTTCTCCACCAGCCGCACCGTCAACTCTGAATATGCCGTTCCAGGTACAGTCTGAAGATGCTTCTGTCTGCTCATGCAGAGAATGATCATCCCACTGAGCGCTGCATGCGTAACATAAAACGGACACAGATTCAAAGTAAAATCTGACACATCCAGTCAGACTGTTCAGAGTTTGAAACATCAGAATCTCAACACAGGATTCATCTCCTGTGGATATGAGGTTGAATTACAGCAACAATAATTTAGCACTGAACTTACCCTACAATGTGGTAGTGTGTAGCACCATGCAGTTTCCAGTAAGGTTTGGTAAGTGCAGACGGGGGGTACGAGAACATCGCTGGATAATGACAATCTGACATGTTCAGTGGGAACAATCACCCAGTATTTTACTGTCATGCTGGAGCGTGCACAGGCAGCTGCACCTGAAAATCCAGTCACCTTAGAAACTGCTTTCATCTTTACTTTCATACGTTTGCTCTTCTTTTTCCAGCACGGCTAATAACACACTTTATGCACTTTGTGGCAAAACAGGAGAAGTAATGTATTTGTTCATGTTCTTGGAGACAAGTAACCTTTTTTTTTTTTTTTTGCAGTAAAGCTAACGTGTTTCAATGAGAAGAATGTTTTGTGTCTGCAGCACGTATGTTGTTGACCCTGTCCAGCTGGAACACGTCACCCCGGCACGCAACAAACCGCCTTTAAAATAAAATCGAGTCATTGTATTTGAACCAAAACCAGGGTCTTTTTCTAAATCTTACCCTGTGCAAAATCTAACAGTAGTTTTTGATCTCTCGTGAGGGACCAGCACTATGGTTCTAGTGGTTTCCACCAACATAGGTCACATCACTGCCAATCACTCCACCCTCAAACGTGTGGATTTTTCACTCTTTTGGAAAATATTATATATTTTGTGTACATAGACATAAATTAGTAGATAGGAGAGTTGTCATTGCAGCCAAAAAAAAAAGGAAAATTTGTGTTTGTGGATATAAATTTGACTCTTTGATTAATGTGTTGATATGACGGCTGATTTTCACTTTTTGACTTCCCTGCTGGAGGTTTAAACTGACACTAAAACACTTTTAAGCCTTAAAAATATAAAGCAGGATGTCAGAAATCAACATAACTATATTTTTAAAAAATATGTTTTCTTTTGGTACAACAGTTGATGACCGAATGTGATTCAAGTGGACTTGAAGGCCACCTGAATAAGGTTTATTATGAAAAGAAATCACTGAACAAATTTTTCATATAGTATGTTAGAATTGGAAGAAGAAGGCATGGTCAGATATGTTTCAAACTTCCATTTAATTCAGCCAAACGTATTTGATTGTTTTACAAACTGGTGCAGTAAACTAGATGGATATCATGCTCAGTGTCAGCCATTTATTAACTGCAGTAATTGAAGTCATCTTATACATAAGGGATAAATGAAATGTTGCAACAAGTGGGACTGTGGCAGATTTTGTGGTGTTGTTGAGGATTCTTATTGAATCCCTGTAAATATTTATATTTGTGACTGCTGTCACTGCTGCCTGCTAACATGCCTTTGCAGAAGAAGATTCAGCCGGTCAGCGATCTACGCTGGATATTGAGTATTTTCGGAGAACTGTGATGTTGATGTTGTTTGTATGCACAGTGCGGTTTCATCTCTATCTCACCCTGTGTGATTGTGGAATGCATTTTATTGACCTTGAGGTAATTTAATAGCAGCAGACGTGATGCCATGTGTTTGTTTTCGTCCTGCAGATGTTCCTCACAGTTACCACCATTACTACTCCAACCCCAGCTACCACACACTGAGCCAGAACAGGCCTCCGCTGCCACACCTCCCCAACAACCACGACCGCACCATCAAGGTGAATGTCATCTCTGATATCTAAGGAGAAAGCTTCATGCCTCATTGCAACTGAAGGGCAGCAATGGGAGGAATATGTCATTTGGACAGTCAGCAACAGCTGGCTATGTATTCAGGGGGTTGTGAAATCATATGATACCAAAACGTGTAGACGCAGTAGGTCATTGGTCCTCAGCGCTTCATTTGGCTTTTGTACATTTGCGACGGTTTATCATTTTTCCTGCCTTACAGAACACCAACAACCAGCTGTTCTGCAGTGTGAAGAACGCAGAGAGGGAGAGACGAGGTCTGTTTGGAGTCGAGACCAATGCCACTCTGCCTGCAGACTGGAAACACCACGAGCCTCGCAAAGACTCAGGTCCGTCTAGGTGACTCTCCACTGCATGATTCACATAAGGATCATTTAGAGGGCACACCTGCAGCTGTAGACTAGAATAAAATGAGCACATTAACATTTACAAGCTTATAAAATCAAGAACCTGGTTTCCTGACCTTCTGACCACAGCGGCATTAAAGTAATCAGCAAAATCTGCAACTGCTGGCTGGCGGTGAGGGGTGTGTGTGTCTGTGGGGGGGATGTTACAAAATAAGACATTACTGTCATCACATTATCTTTGCCTGTCTCATAGTAATATAACAGAGTGATCAAATTGTAGTCGATAATTAAACAGTTATGTCACTTAAGTTAAATGCATTCTTTAATTACGGTCATAACAGGTGGAAAGAAAACGTCTTGTGCAACATTAATCAGAGTTCATGTGGGATCAACCAAACGTCTTTATTTTCACTGAAGACCAAGTATGAAGCTGAAGTGCAAAGATCTCATACGTGTCCTTTCTTAGAAGGATTTGTGCAGACTTCTGATGATATTTAAAGTTTAATATTATATTATTATGACTAAGTGGTGACCCCTGGCAAAGTGAGAAAGCAAAGAACTGCTGTTCCTCTGATGGCCATGTCCACAGAGTTAAACCTTTTTAAACTGTGCAGCAAGCCTCTAGTGGGCTTGCTGCACAGTTTTGCTGTCCACCCTTATATATGAAGGGGGGGTGCTATGTCACGCTTTTCTCATTTTCTCTCATGTCCTGATGTTAGATGATTACAATCATGATCAAAGTTTTAAATTATGAGGTAAATGTAAAATAATCCCTGCGAGCCAAAAGCTTTTTTAAAGTCTGACATTTTCTTGTAATTTTGTGCTGAGCTAACATCAGCTCAGAGTGGTCTTTTTACACACAAAGGCACATGAGTAGAGAAGCCTGGCTTACAGGCACCAGGGTTCTGGTTGCAGGAGAGAGGAGGGGCAGCCAATCAGAAGACAGTGGGGTTTTTAAGGAGGGGAGGCCTTTAAAGCGATAGGAGCTAAAACAGTTTGTTGACAGACCTGGAAATTATTGTTTGAACAGTGAAAAGTATTTTATTGGTATCTGAAAATGAAAAATTGGAATATAAATGAGAAGAATAAGTCCCTATCTATTTTTGATCCAAACACATCTGCTGTAGTTCCTCATTGGTAATGAAAGAGTTCAAACATAGCAGCGGCTGATAATGGAGAATAACCTCGGTAAGCTGAACTGTCAGGGATCAAAGTGTCTCAGTCAAATTTAACCCCTTTTTAGGGTCTTGATCAGAGTTGTGCGTGAAGCTTGGAGTGGAGTGCAAAAGTTTAGATTTCAAATATTTCTTAGGCTCTTTTCAGTAACTGCGCCAGCATAGCTGCTTAAACAGGTAATGGCTGAGAGCCTCAGGCCAGGAAGAAGCTTAAGTAGTTCCTGCTTATAATCTCGAGCAAAGTTTATCGACCATCACATTTCCTAGTCAGCGGGGCACACTCGATATGAGACTATAAAAATAATAAGGACTTCGTAAAAGGTGAGAGTTGCATTGCCAGCACCTATCACTCACCTGGGATTGATTTTTACAGGTTTCCACAGCAGTTTATCTGCTTTTGATTAGCTCGCTATAAAGCAAAATGAAGACGTCTGATTTGTCTTTTATTGTTAACAGGAGCTTTTGGCATCGATCGGAGCTACAGCTACAGCGCCAGCCTCGGAAAATATTACAACAAAGGTAGTTTATCACCTCATTTTCTCTCTTTTCTTACTTACTGCTGAAGTCTGAGGTTAGCTGTGGAAAAGCTGTCCAAAGTATGCTTACAAAGTCTGCTTTATTTAGACAGTCTATGGATGACAGTGTTCTCCAGCGTCACACCTTTATCCATCAGATGGCTTTTCATGAATTTTACACAGACATTCATGGTCCACAGAGGCTTTAACTGTGGGGACTTTTCTTCTAACACCCGTGTAATTTTTTAACAGCAAGCTTTGAGTGAATTAGATGTCCATGTAAATTGGTTTCAAAGCCCCCCTCTGGGGGAACTCTATGTACTTGTGGAAAAATGTAGCGTTCGATCTCTCGCCGCCATGTGATCACATTTTTTTTCTAGTGCTTGTGACATGTTGAATGTTTGTTTTCCACATTTTTACTTGCATATTGTTGTTTTAATTTGTATTCGATCTTATTCCTGTTTCCATGTTTTATCACTTCTATTGCTTAAATGTTATTTTTATATTTATATTTTTTTATTTATTAGTTTCTATTATTTTCTGATAGTCTGGGTGGAATTGGACCCAGGCCACACAAAAGATCAAGCCTTCTGTCATGCTTTGCACACTCAGTCAGATTTTATCTTCTTCATTGTTTATTTTCTTTGCATTTATTAAATTATTTGAATCTCATTCATTTTATATTATCTGTAGGTTGTTTTGTTTTTTTTACTCACCTCAGCTCACACTTGACCTTGAATGCCACGTCGAATCAAGTGTGCTGCACAAATAAAGTTTGGCTTGCTTGTTTACTGATGACATTCCCATCATCCTCAGCTGGACTGTTTGTTTAGTCCCATTTAGCAAATGTTAAAATGCATGTTAAACAAAGACAGTAAGCTCATAACATGCTCGGCCGTGGGCTGTGTGTAGTGGTCCTGAGAGCTCCTCGTAGCGCAAACACATTTAAGCAGACTGAGAAAACATTTTGACTGGTCTGAAAACACAGACGCGGCAGACGGCTGAGACGTGCTTGTTGCAAAATTCAGTGACTCATGAAGCGAGTGATAAAACAAAGAAACCATCAGACAAACCGTAAGCTTACATCCATTTTTTTTATTGTCCCCTGGAAACATTTCTGTTGTAATTGGTCTTTTTTCAGTGTCTCTGTGTTTGCGGCTCTTTAAATGCTGCACCTCTGCTGTCACTGGGGAACATTTTTTTCTCATCTTGTTTGTTGCTAACACGGCATCGTTCCATCAAGAGACAAAGAAGTCTGAAGCTGCTTTTTGGATTATTTAAATATCATTATTGAATATTGCTCATGGAAAAAAACACATTTCGTCTCAACAGGCTCCCTTACTTTAGGCAGATCTGTTAAACCTACAATTTCATCAGCGTACAATTAAACTAAAGCTGATTCCTTATTGCTGTAAAAGATCATCAGCACTTTATAAAGAAAGCTGAAACTTCAGAAGCTGTCGTCGTCCTCTACTGTCATGATTTGTCTCCTGAGCCCAGAGGAATTCTCAGGCTTGTAAAACTGCTAGAAATTTCAATTTCCATGTCAGTACTCGACAGTTACTGGAAGTCCTTTGTGCTGCCTACAAATTTACGTCAACAGTCATTAACTTGCAGCTGTACAGCAATTTACAGAGCTGCATACTGATGAAAATCTCACTTTTCATGGAGTGAATGCTTCATCTAGTAGGCTTAGGCTTTAACCCTCAATCATGCTCCATTCTCGCTCTGCATGGACTTCATATGCAGTTTAATCTCTCAATATTTGTTTCCTGCAGAGCTGAAGGATTCAGTGGCCGTGAGCAGCAGCTCTCTGAACAGCGAGAATCCGTACGCCACCATCAAAGACCTGCCCGGGCTGCCCCTGCCCTTCTGCCCCCCGGAGAGCAGCTACATGGAGATGAAGTCGGCCGTGCCCAGGGAGCGCGCGTACACCGAGATTACGCCCCCGCCGCCGTTCCACACGGCCACCTTACGCAGAGGTAAGCAACACTTCTGACCTCCTGCGAGTCCGAGGAGTGTTTTACACTTCACCACAACCTTCTTAGTTATTGTTATGGTTAAACGTCCAATATTTCCATCATACAAACATCAGTGGGTCTGTGTGTGTTTTTGAATGAACCAGTCTATTTGGATACAGCTACTCTAACGCTAATTTTAATAAGAACTATGAGTTTTTAAAATTAGGAATTGTAAAGTAATCATAAGGTGGGAACTAACTGCGATTTACACTATAGGGACAAAAATACTGGACCACATTACACCTACAGCAGCTGAAACCTGTGCCGTGCAGCTCCTGGTACAGTCTTTGTGCTGATGTTACTGCCAGAGGAGACGTGAAACCCTGCAGAGCGTTAGCACTTGCTGATCCCACTCCTTAATGTTATGAATTTTTATCTGTAGAACAATCCGTTCTTTTGACTACATGATTTTATACAAGCGCGGCAACAGGACAAAAACACCTGAATTCAAAGATTAAGAGGTGTGGCCCAATATTGTAGTTGATTTTACATAATTCTTTGGATTAACTTGAGTTTATTAGGCTACAGTGCTACCCACGGCACCATGGATCCACCCGCTTTGGGAGAAAAAACAAAAAATAGCAACTCTTTTAAGGTCCTTATCAGTCAAACCTTAAAACAGGTCTGTGGCCTGTTAGACAGCTGGGCAGGCCAGACTTCCTCAGGTCATGGACCAATGAATCAACATCTGTTTGCCACAAATAAAAGACTAAAGGAAGAGGAAGGGCAGGGGAGAGGAGAGGAGAGGAGAAGGAAAAACAGGAAGCCGAAGGATTTTCTTCCTAGCTTTTATTGTATTGTGGACACTAGTAATGCATCAATATGCAGTCAGAGGAACGAAGTGTAGGTCTGCGGGATCAAATCCTTACATTCATCCACATATTGGATTGAGTCCAGTCTTTTTTTCTTAGACAAATCACTGCAATTTGCATTCACTCTACCTGAAACAGAAGACTGTGGTTGTAATGACAGAGCCAGCTTTGTGGCCGCTCTGCACAAGCTGTTGTTTAAATCACTGATTCTCTTCTCTGTATGACTGCAACATTTGTAGCTGGTTTTTAAGATCTGACATCCAGACAAGACTTTTGAAATGAAGAAAAGCAAAGTGCAAACAAATCCAGTCTAGCCTAATTTAACTAAAATTGATGTTGAAAATTAAGCTTGGAAAAACTTTTTGCGTCAGCACATTTTGCAGCTAAATACAAACGATTGTAGATGAGATGGATTCTGAGCAGCAACTTTTTCTGCAGTATATTCTACAATAAGTACGCATGTCATAATAAACGAAATTACCTTTAATGTCTTTAAATACTCTGGCATGGATCCAGAACACAATGACTAAGAAAATGAGTCATTTAGAGAAAATACACACTTCATGTAATAAAGGGTTTATAAACATAAAAGGAACAGTAAAGAGTAAAGACAGGGAGGTGTTTCCACTTCATGGCATGACATCGACGTGATTATGCGACACTGCTGTTTGTTACTGATGTTTTTAGTTTATTTGCTAATATCCTCGTTCAGGGTGCCCACATCTGAGAGCTAGACTCTTATTAAACGATTTATAGATGATGTTATTTAAATTGAAACAGAGGGTGAATGCACGCTTTTCCACCCTGGAGTGTGTGGGCTTTTAAAAAGCTTTATTTAGGACCGAGTTCAACAAGTTGAATTAAACACTGAGCAGAGTAAGCTCAGACTGTAACGCCAAACCAACTCATCCAGTCAAGTCCAAAGCAGCAGGACTGAACGCACAGATGGGTTTTTATTTAAAAAATAGAGTCAGCATATTTTCCAGCACTAAAATAAAGAATGGCAGCCTGTTTGGTCCTCACAGCGAGTTCTTTTCCCCCTCAGAGTGTCAGAGCTCCCACGGCCACGCTCCTCATGAGGACCCACAGAGCCACTACGACCTCCCGGTGAACAGCCACATCCCGGGACACTACGACCTGCCACCGGTGCGCCGCCCCCCCTCGCCCTGCCCCTCCCCCAGGAGAAGCCCTCAGTGACAGCAGCAGAGCAGCAGAGCAAATTGTTCCCTTCTGCTCGCTCCGGGGTTGATGAAGAAACGGCTAATTTTATCTCTGAAAATCAGAGCTGCAGACCACCAACACAGCAGGGGCGAGGAGTCTGTCCTGCCAGACGAACCTTTGTTTACAGTGGATGCTTTGCTTTCAACTAAACACCGCCCCCTTGTGTGCGCAGAGCGGTACTGGCGTCTCCGTCACAGACCTGTCATCCAGACTGAGGAGCCAGCAGGCTGTGTGGTGACGCCCGCGGGGCTTCAGCTGCTTTTAACTCCCGAGGGCAAAACCCACCAGAGGATTTGATGGCTAAAAGCAGCGACTTGGGAATGTTTGTGTGTTTGAACTCTTGTAAACATGCTGAAACATTTGTTTTCCACACCCTTTGCGTGCTGCTGATGCATTTTTAACGGGCCTCTTTTATCAGAGCTCGATTTTTCCTTCGTCTCGCTTTTCAGGGTTTTTATTTTGAGTTGAATTTCAGTGCGTTACATTTTCAACATTTTTTTTTTTAAAAAAGGCAGCTTCAGCTGAAAAAAAAAGATGTCTTATGACAAACCATATTTTATAAACAGAAAAAATACCAAAGATTTTTCTTTTTTAACACCTGGAAGCCAAAGTGAGCAGCATTTTACAAAAGTTCATGTTGTGTTTTTTCAAAAAATAAATGCCATTTAAGGACTGAAGTGTGTTTCTTTAAAGAAATGTGGCTTATTGCTGCTGTCTGAAGAAAACTGTAAATACAGGAATGAATATATTGTCAGCCTCTCAGTATTGTTGAAGCGCAGCTCTTCTGTTCAAATAAAGATGCTGTTATGGGTCTCATAGGACACCTTATGAACTTCTTGTGTATATATTAATAGATGTTAAATGGTCAGTGTGAGTTTGGGCACAGATATTATGATAAAGCCATCAGTGCAGTGCCTCTTTTTGTCACAATTAAAGGGCCATTTCACCCAAAACACAAAGATTTTATTATGTTTCGGTTTGTTTTTTTAGACCTGGTGCCTGTGTTACCCATAATGCAATCTCTCTGAATGGATCGCCTTTTGAAGGATAGCCACCAGATACTCAGGCCAGGTCTTCTGCTGCTCATTTTTTACACATGCAAAGACAAAGATAATAAAAAAACTAAATGTGTTGCTGGCTGACAGATTTATGAGGCTGCATTTTGGGGAATTAGTTTGTTGACTGTTTATTGTAATTGAAGCACAGCTTGCTCAAACATGATTGGTCAATACAACTTCAAGAGGACTAGAAATGGAAACCTCAACATGCTGGGTACCAGAGCTCATCGTCTATAGATTTTACAGTCATATTTAGGTTATGGACGTTACCCTACTATGAGTGGATTGTGCATAGTGATTGATGACTTGACAGCTGCCTTTGAAGTGAATCCAAAATTTTAAGGACAAAGCATTAAACATTGGGAAGGCTGGGTTACTGAAGATTGTGGGCCAGACAGAAGGCCTGAGCTCCATCGTCTCCATCGCTGGACAAAGCGGTGTTCAGAGATTCAGCTCCACAGCGTCACGCGGCCTCCTCTGCTGCAGTTAAAGGTTTACAGAGTATTTGTCCAAATATGCAACAGCTCACACCCAGTCTTAAGACGTCTCCCTTCACCCTGACCTCACCACCAACAGGTTTCAGTGGAACTACTTTTTGTCAAGTTAGTCCCTATATAAAATCATTTACATTTTTAATGATGAGAGTGGACATGTAATGTGATTGGCTAAAATTAGTGGCGATTATTGAACTGTGTGTGTGTGTCTGGGGAGCAGACTGTAGTCCCGATTGTGTTGTGGTTCAGAAATACTGAAATTGGTGCATTAATGTAAAAATATTGACCTGTGAAGTTCATTTTCCTGTCAAGTTGTTAACAGAAGCCAAACAGAATGTACGTCGTGCTTTTAGTGCTTCCATATTGTGCAGTCATTTATTTTTGAATGTAATCCTGGGAACATGTGTTTGTATGATGTAAATAAAAAAACTCTGCACTTTTCATGGACTCGACCTTTTTCAATAACAAGGAAATAATCACAACCGTCACTCATTGGAAAAAATACTTTTTACTCAGCATCGCTTTAGAAAATAAATTGCATCAAAGTGTGGCTTTAACGATTTCATGATCTCACACAAATCTCATTTCAAGAACCTTTAACATTAATGGCTTTGGGTGATATCTTTAAATCTCAAGCCCTTCAAAGGATTCATGAGATCTCCACCAAGAGTTTACAAAGACCTCACAGTGTGTTTGTGCATCTGTGGTTGTAGTGAGTCCTTGTTACTCTGGTTCTTAATTACACCCCTGACGTTTCGATGACCTGATCTGAAGCATTATGTTGTGAATATACTGAACAACTACAGTTATCATTTCTCATCACTTTACATATAGACATTTGACAACTACAAGATTTCTGTTAATACACATTTATACTGTAGACGTCATTTCTCTGATTGTCAGTGACTTCATGAGACACTCTGAGCATCAAACTACCTAAAAAGCACAATTCAAACCATAGTTAGGTTTACATATTTGTTTTTCTCCTGCCTGTAGCTTTTCTGTGCATCTAGCCCAGTTTTGAAGAGATATCAGACTTCTCTTCAATATGTTGAAATTAAAAGTGCCAAAAAACATTTGAAAATTCAGCATCAATGTTTCCAAAAATCATGACCGGGTCATACTACTGAGCAGTTTGATACAGGAAGTTCTTTCTTTGTACGACACTACATCCGATGGTTTCCTCACTCTGCTGGATAAACGCTGCATCTTCCACTGACGAGCAGCTCATGTCAGCTAGCTGCACGCTACTTTCGGTTGGTGGATGAAGTTAGAAAGAAAGTCGTTCCTACAAGAAACTCTTCATAAAAGGTCTGTAGATTTTTTTTGATTACCAAGGTCATGATTTCTGGTTTTCCAGTACTCTGAGCACCACAACATGAGTTGCATTATATTAACGAGAAGGCGGACATCTCTGCAGCCGTCTCCAACCCTGGAAACACCAAGACAGCATTAAAGGGCAGAGGACACAAGTTTCATTTTAGGGGTGAACTGTCCTTTTGTGGCCGAAAAATTTAAAAAATTAAACTTTGCAGAAATTGCCTCTTTTTTTTTTTTAAGTATAAAAAGAAAAAACCCACACAAAAACAATACCACGACAGCTATCAAGTATCTTCCACAAATGCTTTGATATGCTTTCCACTGGAGTATAAATGAGTTAAGCTGCCAGACTAGACTACAAATCTACCTGCTGTGCATAACTGGCAAAAAGCAGTGCATGAAGCCAAAGCTACAAAGTCACACAAACCCCTCAATCTGACAGAGGTCCCAAAATCAGATCCAGGGATTTGCAAAGTCGGTAAAGCTTAGAGGAAAGAAAGAAAATTCAAAGCCCTTATGACCAGCTTTTAGGAGCAACACGGATCGGAGGACAGCTGACGGTCACAAGACTGCCGTATGAAGCATGTGAGCGGGAAAAACAAAAACTGCAGATGTTGCCTCTGAAGGCACATCTGTATTTCTAATCGGTTAAACAGTCATGTCCAAAATCTACTGCAAATAGAAACAGAGCCTATTAATATATACTCTCTATATATGGCACCCAATCTATCAAAAAACAGTACCTTCTGCTGACATTCCCCCAGGTACAAAATAAACCTCTCCCATCATGATTAAACGCACTCAAAGCCAAGAAGCACTTAACCAGACACATTACCCAATAATTCCCTTCTTTCTTTAAACATTCCAAAAACATAATGAATACATTTGTTGGGGAGCGAGCCGTGTACATATATTCATCTCATATACTCATTTTCTCTGTGTGCACCACAGCTGCCCGACAGCATCACATAGAAAACATATCATCACCCCGTTTGTTTAAGGCTAAGGTGAAAAATAACAAACAAAAAACCCTGAGCTTACATCGCTTTGGCTTTCTCTGGAGACTTTTCCTACAATATTTTATCCATAAATATAGCACAACACTGCTCCAAAAATGTTTTAGTTGTAAACATTGGCTTTAAATAAAGAATTGATCTGTTTGATGGGAAACAAACATGATTAACAAACTCCAGAGGAGCCATCCTCCTCTCGCCTGTACGGCTGTTTTCCTGATAGGGTCCACTAGCTGTGCGTGTTGAGTGTTGACAGCCTGGCCATTAAATGTGAAACCCCGTCTCGGATCGAAGCACAAGCCCTGGTCACTGGAGCTGTGTGTGCGCGCGTGCGTGTGCAAGCAGAGCGGAGAACAGCACGAGCAAACAGCAAACATGCAGTAAAATAAGCTGAATATACAAACTTGAAAGCTATATGTGAAAATCCTACGCCCTCTGCCAAAACCTCAAAGCAAATCTAACCCGCAGAATAATCTGAATACAAAATAAGACACAATCATATAAAAAAATAAAGACAAACATCCCGACGGTAGAAAAATCATTCTCCCCTGTGGGCTGCAGGAGGTGCTGGGTTCAGGTGAGGTGCTGTCTGGTTTTTACATGATGGAGCAGTTCTCCGGCTTCATGCGGCCCTGAGGAGGAGACGACAGGAATATTTGATTTTTGTTTAACAAAAACAACTATTTGTGTAATTCGACACCAAATGCTTCATTTGCAGTCCTGATGCTTAGAATACAGATTAATAAAGGCGACTTTTTGTTGTTAGTGAGTCTTTACGAGGCGTTAAAATGGGAGCTGTGGGGAAAACGAGCGCCGTGTTTCTGGACTGAAATTGTGCAGCTGAACTTTAGAAATGTCCTTTTTTAAAAGCCACATGTCTCAGTTTAAATCCGATTTCGGTTTCGCCTCTTGCTACATTATCTTCTGAAGCTTTTGGTAAATTGGGGGAAAACAACCGTTAAAAGTGAAATGAAAGAAGCCGTTTGTTCAGCCCTGAAGTGGTGGAGGACTTGTGTTCATCATTCAGCATGGGTGGGCATTTCCAGGCCTCGAGGGCCGGTGTCCTGCAGGTTTTAGATCTCACCCTGGGTCAGCACACCTGAATCAAATGATGAGTTCATTATCAGGCCTCTGGAGAACTATAAGACATGTAGAGGAGGTCATTTAGCCTTTAAATCAGCTGTGTTGGATCAAGGACATCTAAAACCTGCAGGACACCGGCCCTCGAGGCCTGGAGTTGCCCACCCCTGGTCTAGAGTAACAGAGAGATTGATACAGATTGATGCATGTTCAAAGTCTCCATAAGCTTACTCTGCTCCACCACCAACACCACCTCCTACCTGCATCTAGGATTCTGCTGCTCTGAGCACCATCATGAGCAAATCCACACACATCCTGTTGTTTCTTATCACCTCAGTCTTTGCTGTTTCTGTGATCATCATTTATGTTTTTGCATCTAATAATAATTCCCAGTCTGCAAAGTTAAAAGTAACATTTTTTTTTGCTTTTGCTGTTTGATGTTTAAGAATCTGTCAAAATGCAGCGCAAACCAAAACTTTTCTGCGACTCTAAACTGCACTTTGTATCATAAAACAGTTCTTGGGAAATAGAGAGA